AATGTGGGACGATTTAGCGAGATTGCTAACTAAATGGGTTTTAGGGATTTTTAAAGATTTGGACTTCTGTTTCGGAATATCAAAGAATAACAGTAAATTAAACTTTGACCCTATTTAGTCGAATGAAAGTCGGAAAATTTTTCGAAAAAAGTTACTTTTTCCGTTTCCATTACCCGTTTTTGTAAGGTATTTCCTTCCTCCAATACCAATTGATGAACCGGTGCCTGTTGTAACGGCTCTGGTCGTCCTTGACTGCTTTGTGGGGTATCCGAACTGGCTGCAGTCGCTGCGGCTATTTCCCGTTCCTTCCGTTTCTTCAGGCTCGATAGCACTGCTCGATCGGTACGAGGCGGTTTGGGTGGTGGTGCACCGGAATATGGCAGAAAGCTGGCAATCTGAGCCGGCGCTGTCGATAAGCGACGCGTTGCTGTCAATTCTTCTTCTCCTGCAGCAGAGTTCGATTATGAAATGCATGTAACTAATTTAGCGTGTAGAGAGGACTGCCGTGCTAGTGCTTAGCCACAAGACCATTCGCATATTTTTGCGAATCTTCTAATGCTTAACAGTAGGGGATCTGTCGGAGGTTACACAAGATGCTGTGTAAGTTCTGTTTGCTCTCAAAAGACAAAACGCTGCGAAATTTTGATACGGTCAACATTATTTACCTTTCAGTAAATATTTTTTACTGCCTTCAGAAAAGTTACGCTCTCCTAAACAGTAAAACTAGCAAGTATTTCCAGATTCATTTTACCAAAATTATACAATTTCCCTAAAAATTTATCGAGCTCACAAGAACACTGTAGGTACAAGGTGAGGATCTCTGGCACGAGATGAAATTTTGAGTCCCTCGTCGTAAATTACAGAATTTTAGCAAATTTTGCTTCTCCGTGTTTTACATTTATTAAAATGTCTGTAGAAATATTCTACAGTATGAAATGCGAAACTGCCTGCCCACCTAAAATTTTCAGAAAATATCCTTTTTTTTATGCGTTTTTGCGTATATGCAAATTGCAAAAACGTATATTGGGAAGAGGCTGTGTGTGTTTGTGTGTATGTGTGCTTGTGTGCGCGTGTGTGTGTGTGCTCGCACTTTTTGTCACCGACTTTCAACGCGAGAACCAGAAAGCTGAAACTTTAGGAGTATGTGCCCATACCATGCGCGACCCTTCCGTTTTAATATCATCTCCCGTGGACGCCTGGTTGCTGCGTGTGGACACTTTCAAAAAATATGCAAATTTTTTGGCGGAAAAGCTATCTCAGGAACCAATTACAAGGTAATGGGCTGAAACTTTGTAGTGATATTCCCTGTGCACGTGTAAGACTTCAAACTCAGCCCCAAGCTATGCGTGGTATGAAAGTTTCTGCGGGAAAATTACTAATTCGGTAACCAGAAAAGCTGGAAGGCTGAAATTTTGGGGGATGTTTCCTGTCCGAATACAGCTCAAATATTTCAAATTCAGCCCCAGCTATGTGTGTTACTCTCGTAAGGGCGTATGAAAGTTTTTGAAGGAAAATTATTAACTCGGGAACCAGAAAAGCTAGAAAACTGAAATTTTAAGGTAATGTCCCCGTCCAAGTACAACTTCAGTATTTCAAATTCAGCCTTGAGGTATGCGTGATTCTTACATAAGGACACTTAAAAGTTTTGGCGGAAAATTTCTCACTGAACAGCTAGGCGGTTACTTCTAAAGAACGACCGTCAAATGGAAGTTGTACACTTACTTTATGCAAAGATTTATGGTGATTTGTGCTAGTGACCGCAAAAGATAGGTGTAAAGCAATAACCATTCATGCAATTAATGACCTGAGTACTTCAAGTCCGGTGCAAAAACGCACGATCGCATGGGCCCGCTCGATGCGTCCCAACCTGGGTTTTCACTATGCATTTGCAACGTACACGAAGAACACTTCGCTTCAATAGCAGTTCTTTACCAAAAACTCAGGTTTTGTAGTTTTTTACGCGTTTTTTGCATGTATGCAAACAGCAAAAGCGTATATTGCAACGACTCTGTCTGTGTGTATGCTTTCGCTTGTGTGTGTATGTGTTTGTCTGTCCAAGTGTTTCAACTCGATAACCAAGCAAGCCCCGGCGCCAAAATTTTGCTAAAGGGTCCTCCGGCCAAGTGTCACCCCAGGACCGCGGTACCAACCCT